GCAACTGGTATCGGTATGGGCTTGTCGTAATTTGATACCAGAGTAGTCTGGACTCAACTCATCAACGACTCAAGTGCATTTATCGAGGCTTCGAACGCAATGGAAGTCTAGCTTGGATATCTTATGCTGCTGGATGCGAGGACTCCGGATGTTCTCAACCTAGTCGTTGAATTCCAAACATGCCTCTCAGTCCAGCTGTTCGAATTCGGCGCACATTATGACCCGAACTAGCATACCAGCTCCTGAAACTTACACCATCGCACATCTGTGAGTACGGGGACAACGAACCTTGACCACCGCACAGAATCAGAAAGCAGCAGGAATTCCAATCACAGCCGACTAGGGAATAATACTCCTCCGCACTTCGAAATAATTCACTGTGCAGCCAGAAACTGGAGGCCTCCGGAGGCAAAGACGATCGAATCGTAGCAGATGTCAGTGATATCAGAAAGCCTGAGAGCAAGCACCAGGTCCACAGCGAATGCCGCCTAGATTAGATACGTATTGTGGAACCTAGCAGCGAACAACGGTCAAACAGGAGTTGTGAAAGCGCGGTCAGACATGCATGCAAGGAAATGGAGATGGAAAGGTTTCCATTTCACAATCCTGAGTTCCCTGGAACAGAAGTCGGCACGACAGTCCGGAAGCCCAGGCCCCAGCCGAAATGAGAAGTCCAGAAAACCAGAAGAAGGCCAGCACCTGGCCAAGGACGAACAAAGCAAGCAGTTGCTGCCCAGGGATCAGAACAACAGCCATACGTTCGGCCATGTCTCATGCTACACTGGGAATGCATGCGCGTGGCAGGTTAACATGACAATGCCTTGCATCTGCAGTGAAGAAGCTCCAAGATCTAGAATAGCCCTAGCCAGCATGCTTGAAGATTCAATAGCACGAACATACCTAGATCAGAAATCCCTGCCTCCAGAGTTTTCAGCGCCACAGCCGTAAGCAGGCCGTTGAGAGCACAGACGTGAGGAGGGTTGAATTTCAAAAATTCGGATTTGCGGGCTGCTCTTTGATCTATTCTGGGAATCTAGGATTCCGCACAGCTGCTCTGATGTCGTATGTTTTAACAGCATGAATGAATCCGCGCACACAAGCCAACCTTCGAACAAAACTGGCAAAGGGACAAATTGCCTGTCAGTTCCCTATCTGCAGTGCAGTGACCATCCGGCCCGAAACAGCCAGTCCCAAGAGTGATCCAACGAGCATCGGCCCACCATCCCAGGACCAAAACCCGGACTCCCGAGCGAGAAAAACCCCTAGGTGTGACCAAGCCAGCGGCCACATCAAAGTGGCCGTTGTCGCCACGCACCTCCAGAAAGCGTGTTGAATCAAGAAATAGGGCTATGTGTAGCACAGCACTTACACGAATACACTCACCCAAGCTTTGCCATTTGCGGTTGAATCTCCTCTCCGATGCATGCTCCCTGGTGCAATATTGCGACGAGAACAAGAAGCAGCTTACTCAAGAGAGCCTGCTAAAAGATCACACACAGACACTGGGAGCGATACGAGAGGTGGCAATCATAATTCTAATAATGGGCATGAAGCGATCAAACTGTTTGCCAATACTTTTCGGAAAGGGGGGCCTCGGCATCGGATCATCGTCGACAAGCGAAGACGGAGCAACCTGGGCCACGTGGCTAAAGTACTGCGCATGGTAGCGGCTTTTAGGAGTCGTGGCATGGCAAGTCTGCATAGCAAAAACAGAACCGAACCAACATGCCTGCACATATGCCTCGCTCACAATGTGAAAACCAAACTGACTAAGCACCAGCACCCAACTAACTAAACCACTGGACTGGTGCTCGGCCTCAGACTCGGAAGCGAAGCCTTTGCGGCCCAATCCCAACCTCGACAGGCAAAGGGTAATGGATTGGGGGCAGGGACCAAAGGGCCCAACGCCCATCAAAAGGACAGCATGGCACAAAATGAGCATCACGAACATGTCTGTTCAGGACAACACAACATGCCGGCCCCAAAGAATCCCGAACCAATTCAAAGTCCAGAAATCTCAAAATACCGAAGTGTCTAATCCGAGAGCCCGGCGACGAATGGTGTTGCGCAAATCCCGGCCTGCAACCGAAGGGGAGCACAACCAGACACAAAATGCACAGCCACACAACGATCAGAAAACCAGGCAGTTTTCATTTCACCAGCACGGAAGATCGCAGCGGCTTCATCCTACGCCACAGGAGACTGAAAGCCCGGCCGGAAGTGCAGCACACATTCGACGTGTTATGTATTGTTTAGAGTGCATGTTTGCTGCTGGACCCCAAGCCCGGCCCAGTAGTATTATGTTTTAAAATCACCCCGGCCCCAGTCCAGTCTCCCGTCTGAGATGGGATATTGACCCCGATGGACCCCTCAATTATGGACCCCTATGACCCTATGAGCCTATGAGTTAATACGTAAAGTTTAATCACCCCTAAGCCCGGCATCCATCAGTCCCCCTTCTTCTCATCCTTCTTCTCATCCTTCGGCCCTTCACTTGGCTGCGATGTGCCCGATCCTGCACGATGGAGTCATGGAGTGCAAACGGTGCTCCCACATGAGCACTACAATACGGTCCTGTGCCACTCTCGAACGTGTACTCATCGGGCGGGGCTTCGCATTCGCACGCAGCGATCAAAACCTCGCAGCATCAATACAAGAACTTCAAACAAATAGCAACAAATTTAATTACATGTTGCAAAGTCCAGCCTTTCCGGTCTGGCCCCTGCTCTCCTTCATCTGCATCTTGAACTCCGCCTTCCTCAAGCCAATGAACTTGCGTAGCACTTCCAGCGTGTGCGACTGCCCTGAAGCCCAGGCCTCTCCTCCGAAAGAGAGCCCCACCATGCGGCCGGGACGGCAACCATGAAGTCGCCCAAATCGATGCCGACCTCGGCCCGGAAATTATATTATGTACACTCACCAAAATGTACGCAGGCAATCCGAGGATGCGAAATGAGCCCTGGGCCTCTCCCTCGCGAGGGCCATCAGACGACAATGAGCCCTTCTTCGGCATGTCGCCTATGAATGCTGACTATGATTGGTCCCGTGACGTGCAACGACCATGCTTCATGCTTCAATCCTCACTTGAACCCGGATAGCCAGTTCAGGAAAGGCTCCAAGCGATGCTCAATCACTGCATCCACAACCGATCAGAAGCGAATCATGCACTTGCAGCAGCAGCCCGTGCCTCCTCTGGCAAAAGCATCCGGCTGCACGCCATCATACCACAAACTTGCTGTCATGTGCAAATCTCTTGAATGCATGTGCACTGTTGCCTGTGCTAGTGGGCTACCAAGTCGAGACATCATGCTCATGCCACACAGGAATGCAAGCAAAAGGCTCGGCACGTCGAGGTCTGCGCCGAAAGATCAAATGAAATAAATGATATCGTCCCTTGGCAACTACAATCTATTCAATCGAGTCAGTCAATCCCGCGTCTCAGAACCATCTTCATCCCCTCCCTTGCCAGCAGGCAAAGACCTGACCACACCGAATATTTTGACACAAGCTGCTGTTATTTATTGGGTTTTAGGGGTTAGGGTTTTTTTTTTACGATTTAAGGTTTTCTGCACACTCGCACATTCGCAGTTCAAGGTCATTGCCTACGCATCATGAGCAAAAGCATACAAGCAGACCGCCTAGTCACACATTCGATCTCCGGCTGCCAACATTGAGAAGGATACCTAATCTGAGCTAGCACGTGAACTCCCAGCGATTGCGCGGAAGGGCCCCGAAGTGTGGGAGAGTTTGCCGGTTTCGGCAAGTGCGTCTGCACGGTCATTGAACTTGATCCCTTTGTGGCCTTTCACCCACTGCCATTTGATACGAATGGTTTGTTCCAGCCGTTGGCGGAGTAGTCTGGCTGAGTGAACCATTTCTGTATGTCTTGTGGCTTTAGCTTGTCCACGTACCATTCGTGCCATCCATTTGCTGTTATAATAAAACGTCACATCTGCCGGCGGATTGGCCCGGATTATGTAAGCGCAGGCTTCCATCCATGCCTGCAGTTCGCCCGTATTATTACTGCCGACGTTGGCGCCGAATGTGAAGGGATGCGTGTCGTCAGTTATTACGGGGCCGCTAAATTCTTCCAACACTTCGTCTTCTGCGATTATAACGTACCCCCATCCTGCCGGGGTGTGTTTATGGCAGCAGCCTTGCGAGCCTCATCCGTCTGTGCACACTTCCACACTTACATCTGGAGGAATAGCCAGTGGCAGTGGTGTGGTTTGTGCATTTCGCGCGTAGTGTTTGCAGAAGGATTTAGCAAACTCCTTGTTGGCGGAATAATCTCTAGTAGGTGGCCTAGTGGCTTTAAGGATCTTGGAGCCTAGTTCAGCCGCTAGGAAAACGCGTATCATGATGAGCTCTGACGTTAAGTATAGTAGGAAGCCATCTGCGTCCCTAGTGATTACTCTGTCTAGGCTCTGAAACCTGAGCGGATCAACTCTGGGTGGTATGGGGGCAGATGATGGAAGCGGATCGGCTGTCACATATGCTCGTATATATTGCTACAAACATTCAACCGTTCGGCTTCTGGTGTCTGTATAGGGTCTGTATTTTATCATAGACGTGTGGCAATCCTAGCGGGTCTGTGATAAAACCGCTCCAGTCTTGTGGCGGAGGGCCTTGTCTCTGTATGTAATTTGATGCTTTAAATTGGGTGTTCTCTCGTCCTCCTCTGGCAATCCCAGAGGTCGACAGATGCGAGCCAATGAGTCGTGTCCCTCTAGCACAATCCTGATCCAAAGACGTTTTCCGTCAGTGCCCTTACAGAATCCTGCTTCTCATAAAGAAGAATCGCGGAGCACTCAAGGTTCGCATGTGGCCATATGGTGCACGCAAGCTGCAAAGAGCTTGCTCGAGTAACACCATCACTGACCCCCATTGCTTGTTGGCTCTGTCTAGGCAGTTTATTGAATTCTGCGTGGCGCATTCGGACTCTTGTGGTTGGGCACCCAAGAAAGAGGCGTCGCCATGCAGCCGGAGAAAGCGCGAACTCATTGGCACAGTGATCTCAATATCACAATCCTCTCGCTCTGCAGCTGCTTGGGGAAAAAACGGCTCCAGCTCTCCGAAATGTACTCGGGATCCGGATCCATACACGTCAAATTCCATGCGTGCTCACGAATGAAGGTGTACAATTCCCTGACATCCATACAGATGCGGCGGTCCTGCAGCCCTTGACTAGCAAGGGAATCGGGTAGACCATTAATCACTCAACACGGGTCGCTTGAGCCAAAATAGTTGTTTAGGGTTTAGGATTGTAATAAGAAGCCCAAAGGAATCATGTTGGTAATTCTTCAAGGCCCTTTATTACACCCGAGCTGCCGGAGCTGGCAGCTTCTTCCGCAGCTCCGCGAGGGAAGGGGCAAAGTCGGGCCAAAGGACCTTCGACACTTCTCTGAGGTCGTGACAGCCTTAAACTCGGTTCTTGTTAGGGACTTTTTGATCTAAGTTACCATAATGAAGAAAGCATATTAATTACTACAGATTCCTCTTATGGTAGCTTAAACGGCTGTCCTTAACAAGAACCCAGTAAAGTTTGGAGCTTTCCGCTCAAAGTCCTGAGGCTCAGAGTTGCGGGGTTAGTTGGTTAAGATGTCGAGGTTCGGGGTTGCTGAACCCTTACATCTTAACTGGTAGAATTGCACTTATCTTGGTGGGCTGGGAGGTTCAGTACGATGAACTCTGCTTGCGCTTGAGGATTTGGGAATCAAGACTCTCGGGCTCAAGCAGGCTGAGGGGTTGGGGTTGAGGGCGTAGTGTTGAGTGGGAATCATGATGCAGGGTTCACATTCTTTGCGACATCTAGAAAAAACTCTGAAAGGATTAAGGCTTCGCCAGGCGGATACCGTGAAGGAATTAACCAAGATGCTTCGAATCATAGCCCGGTAGAGCTGCAATGAAGGGGTGTCGGGCTTTCGGAGTTGGGCGAAACCAATACTGTAGGGATCGGTTCAAGGGTAAGGGCCTTTATCCTCCAGAAACACGGATTTCTGTGGATAGGTTGGAGGCAAGGCGAGTCTCTTACAGAGGTGTTGAGCTAGTGCTACCCCTGTGGCTCAAGACCGCAGCTGTGCAGCCTAAACCCACAACCCTGAACACTCACAACTCTGACCTGAAGCCTCAGCCCTACACCCTAAAGCAGGAAAGCAGCGAAGCCCTGAGCCCTAAACCCCAAGCTCGGCTCTGATGAGCTCGTGGAGTCCCTTTGGCACTCTGCCTCCCCCATGAGTAGGAGCGGGGCTTAGTCGAAGGGACTTCTTTTAGGGTTCCCTAAAAGGGTCGTGCAAGGGTACCACAGGAGCTTTAGGGATATTTAGGGTTTAAGGCTTAGGCTTACGGCTTCCCCCCGAAACTCGGGGGAAGAGAGGCTACAGGTCAGCTGGATGAAGTTTCGCAGACCGGGCTGAGGCTGAGGGCAGAAATCGCCGCAATGCTTCAGAACTCTGTGAGTGAACACCACCTCGCACTTCAAATCCCCAAATTCCGGAGCCTGAAACTCAAAATCTGCCCAAAAGAACCCCTAAACGAACCCAAACTGCAGCTGAGGCCCCTTCAACCCGAAACCCACTGCAGCCCTGCGACCACGGCCGGGCCCATTAGCTGAGGCCCTCCGCGCCAGTGGCGCTCTCGAGCGGGCGCCACGCTGGCACCGAGCAGCCGCAATTGCACACCTCAGCAAACAGAACTCCGAGCTCTGCCTTAATTTTTAGGCCTCGAGGTCTAGAGTAATGGAGTCCAGGCTTGAAGCACACTGGATTTTAGGTACTGGGATTTAGGGGCTGGGGGTTTCCGCTACAGGACTGTCCCACGGGACATGATGGTTTCGGATTGCAAAGTAGAAACCCTTACTCCGTACCATTCCTACCCGGAGAAGAAACATCACACAGACGCTTCATTCCCCTTCTTCCTCTTACATAGTTCACAAATAGGGCCTGCTACAAATTCTGAAAAGATCTCTTAAGGGTCCACAATGGGTCCATCCATTTCGGGTCGATAACCGTGCCAAGGACTCGTAACCTCGAAACCCACACGCCTACACCAGGCCTTCACCTTACAGCAGCTTCCAGTTCCGGATTAGGGCCTTGTGGGTTTCGGCTATAAGCCATAGGGTCCTTATTTGCAAAGACAATCCCGAAAGCAGCAATAATGCCGGAAGCGACCGTTATAAGCTGATCCAGATGTCGAGCGAGAAACCCTAAACCTGAAACCCTAAACCATTAGAACATCCCGCGTCTTCGAAGCCGAAGATCAATTGGCATGATAAACTGCATTTTCCGCCGAGGCCGCACCGTGGGGCGGAGTGCCGTCCGCCTGGATAAAGAGCTCGCTTTGCAAGGGTCAATGCTTTAAGGTTCCAGGGTTTGTAAAACTTTGGGGGGACTCAAAGCTTGGCCGGGGTACTGCGTTTAGGTTCAGGTATACTTGCACGTTCCGATTGTTCGCTGTCTCATCCCGCTGTCTCAATGGCAATCTCGACCAGGTGGACTTCCCGGCGGCTACATCCCCAAGACCGGCCAGCACACGTACCTTGCCCGTCTCTGGCCGGGAAACGGGTCTAGGAATTGAATTCTGTTTCAAACGCCCGGAAAGCCCACGAGGGTCGAGGAGCCTACCGATGCGCCTTAAGCCTTCGCGCCCACATCTTGAGCCCAGAGCATATGAGACCCTTAACCCAGAACCCTTAGGCTCAACAACCCTGCAGAGAAAGCTTGGATCGAAACCCTACAGCGCCTTTTCGCGAAATGATACAAGAAACCCCACGCAAGTCTGCCAAAGGACGGCCAGCCGTGCGGCGGTAGCGATGTCGTTCCTAAAGGGTGCGCTTGTGGACTTGGGATTCAAGGCTCAGGGTGCGTTGGGGTTCAAAACCTTTGGGGTTTCGAGTTCGAGGTTTAGGGGGCCCAGAATGCTTGGAGTTGGGTCTGGGGGTGTTCTCCTAAATGCCAAGGGCCCGGAACCCTGTTTGGGACTTGCAGGGGGAAGTTCAGGCGGCTGCCGTCTAAAGGGCTGCAGCAGATTCTGCTACGAAGTTGGGACCTGTGGTGTCAGATTAAGACTATGTCATGACTGCAGAGACTCTAAGAGTATATTCCGACTCTAAGAGTATGATCCTACTTCTTCTTCAGGCTCCTACATCACAACTTATACAACAACCCTAAACCCAAAAACCCTTACCTTTGGCGGCTTCGTACGTAGGAGCCCAGGCAAGTTCAGGCACTGGAGCTTGAGCCAAGGCTGAGCCTCACCACAGCCGCTCTACTTCTGGGGCTTAGGGCTGGGGTTTCGGGTTGAGGGTTTAGGGTTTAGGGCTTAGGCTTTAGGGATTTAAGGTTTAGGCTTTAGGGTTTCGGGTTTAGGGTTTAGGGTTAGCTGGCAAGAAGACTCCACGCAGGGCTGAGCCCGTAAGCCGAAACCCAGAGCAGGAACCGCGCACCGACACGCTCACTAGAATATGATACAGCGCAATGCGACCGAATGTGTATTAGTATAAGAATAGAATAGAATGGAATATTAGAAGTTGAACTGGAATAGAATCGGACAGAACAGAATAGAATAGAATGCATACTGATACATAATCTATGTAAGATGATATACTTCACTAGGCAGAGCGTCTTGCAGGGGAAGTAGCCGAACTCCAGAGGATACCTGGTGAAGCCCACCTGGTAAAGCATGTTGGGCTTCTGCCAGATGTGGGTTTGTCTCGAAGAAAGATCCAAGTATGTTTTCATCAACCTTTACCGAGGCCTTGTGTGCCCTGGGGCTGTTCGGAGTTCTGGAAGAAGATCTACAACCAGTTTCTCTTGCTTGAGTACCGTACCATGTTCTTGATCTCTGATACAGCAGGTAGGCCACTAATCTTCGCACTTCAACGCAAGCGCTGGACCAATCTCAACCCTTGCCCTCCACTCCTCTAGCCTATAAAGAGCTTCCAAAAGGTCTTAAGGTGTATAGAAGTAGTTGGTCATCTTTACCTTACCTTCGTCAATGCCGTTCGCCCTTGGCAGCATCCTCACATCAAAACCCTGAGTCTCACAGGGCTTCGGAGTTCAAGGATCTATGTCTTTCGGGCTTCCCAAAAGGATGATGTTGGGGGCCATGAACATGCCGATCAAGTCCTTGGCCAAGTGCCCCCAGCACACCCCCAGATTTAGAGGAATTCACCTGTATTCCCGTGCTTCGATAAGCATCACAGATAGTCTGTATGGTCCGGAAAAAGCCTTGAGATCAGAATCAGATGTAGTACATCATATTGTCAACATGCTCAAAGAAGCCTCAACATAGCTACACATCGCCATACAGACGTGATACTCGAAAACAACGAAAATAACTATAAACCGACAGTGGGAAAAGCTAAATTATGGCTTGGTCCCTTCATTGCCACCAGCAGCCACGCCTTCGCTTCAGGCGGAAGGAGCTTCGCATAGTCCTGCATCATGCCTCGGTGCCGGGCTAGTGAAGTCTGGATTTTCTAGGGGCTTCCTTGGGCTATGACGGCTATGAGTGTTATATCCTGAAACCTTTAAGCAAAATTCTTATACAGGTTTTGGAAGGGTCTTAAGTGGCAGAGAGCCCAAGCCAGAGAAGGAGATAAGCTCAGGCCTGAACCCACACAGAAGAAGCCAAGCTGCCCCTGAAATAAAATGGTGAAGCAAGAGTTTTCAGGCTCGAAACAGCGTTTTATGCAACATTATTAGTATGTTGTATGGTGTTTTGTCCCTGCAGTCTCCTGTTCGTTGGGGCTCAGGTGGGCTCAGGACGTTTAGGGGTTTGAGGGGGTCCGGGTCACCCTTCTTCAACCCTAACTCCTGGACCCCTAAACCCCCGAACCCCCAGACCCTAAACCCCTTGACCCCTAAACCGTAAACCCTGAGCCCTAAAACCCCCGAACCCTAAACCCGAACCCTCAAAACCCCTAAACGCTACGAACCCGGGATCCTTCCCAGCTGAACCCCTGCAGCTTCTGGAGCCCAAAAGGAGCATCGAAACAGAAACTTTCTGAGCAATTTTCCTACCAGGAAAGGGGGCTTCTGCAGTTCACGTTCAGGTGCCGTTTTCGGTTCCTAAAGTTCATAACCCCAAAAGTGCGTGGGGGATTGATCTCGACTTGGTTGCTGCTCTCCCCACCAGAGCTGTAATGAATGTAGGTGTGGCTGGCTAGCACTCTCCACAGACTGGACCCTGTCTCTCCCTCTTACTTCCACACGTGCGATCCTATGCAGGCAGAACCGGCGGCCGTTCCTTTTGCACTCACTGCCGGCGGCGGTTCGTCTGTGCAACGGGATAGCGCTGATTGCTCAGGATAGAAGACACATATAGCACTTAGCTATGGGCATTGACTTGAGCCAAACGTTGCGTTGGCGGTCACATAGAAAGGTAAAGATGAGGGATGCGTAGCATGCCCCCTTAGAGTCGAGGGACGCGTAGCGTGCCCCCTTCTCTTGCACTTTACACGGTCTTGCTCACAGCTCTTATAGTGACACCTTAGAACTTGACAAGGCATCGCAGTCCGTTCGCACCCCCCATGAGTTGCGTCTCCGACGCTGCTCACCCGGAAGATGGCACGATAGGACAACAGAAAAGTTCCGCCGCAACGTTGACATTGAAAATCAGAGCTTTGCATCCCAATTAGAAACGTTGTGACACTCATCTACGTCAGTAACGATCCCCTGAAATGGCAAACGAATCAGGCGTCACCGAAGAAAGAAGCATTCGCGATGGCATTCCATGGGCGAAGCTCAGAGGTCACGAACTGATAGGCGAGGAAGACCAAGCGTTGATTCATCTCCATCTTCGCGTGGTCGCAGGATCGCGGTCCCAGGGCCGGAGGTTTTCCTCTGGATACTGTTCCCGATGCTTTCCCTTGTCCTTGCCTTTGTTTCGGCCTTTGCCGGCGGTGTAGTCGTAGTAGGAGTTGGAGTTCCAGCCTCCATGCTGCTCACCTCCGGTTCTCCCACGCCCTTTTGAAGGTCCCTTGGACGAAGAAGCGCTTTCACGTTCCTCCGTAGTGACAGGCGTGTCCAGGATGGATGTACCACCTGGAGGAAGATAGTCAGCGGCCGAAATGTGGTGTAGGGCTTCAGTACGCTTGGTCGTCGGGTTTTGCTGTCTCTCAGCCTTGGACCTGTTCAATCTGTCCATGAAATGCGCAGGCATTTGCACACTGTGGTCCACCAGCAAGCCGATGGTCTGGACTGACTGATCAGAATGAGTCAGCAGAATACCGACGGGGTCGATGTACAAGAAGTCCACTGGTCCAGTTGGCGTTGGTCGTAGCACTGAGAATTGCTGGTGTCCCGTCACCATTGGGATCACCTCGCACAGGACGTTCAGGCAACAAAAGTGCATAGCCTTCACATCTTCATCCCTTTCGCTCTTCAAATAAGTAGTAGGGTTGAAGTTGTCCCTGCCAATTCCCATCATGTTGGCTCCCCGTGTAAGTAAAGAAAGCATCTGGTTCGTCCGGAAGCGCTTCAAGGTGTAAGTCCCGTTGGGATCATACTGTTTGAGGTTCTCAGGTTCCTTGGCAAAGCGAATGATCTCCTCATCAGTCACATCCTTGCTCACACCCGTTTCCCTATCCACTGCCGCCAAAGATCCCCACTTTCCAAGCACATCATAGCGTTGGCCAAGTGCGAAACTTTCCCTCATCTGAAACAACGGCATAGTCGCCCACTTTGCGAATCCTGACCAAGCCTTGTAGATGGATCTGCATACCACGTATGCCATGTACGAAAGAGCGGTCATGTTCGCGTCAATGCAATGGGCATTTCGCTTTCCAGAATAGTAGGATGGCTGCATGGCGGTACGTGCAAGTTGTAGCTCAGGATCGATGTTCAAAGACTGGCCGGTAACGAAGACGGGACGACGTTCCTGTGCAATTGCTTCTGGTACCGCGTCATCAAAGTCCTCTCCAGGCTCTATGTCCATTTCTTCATCAGGTTCCTGTTCTGGATCGTCCTCCGCGATGACAGATGGTTCTGGGATTTCTTCAGGTTCCGCAACGGTCTCTACCTCCATGGCTTCCTGCTCCTCTTCGGGCGCCTCAGGCACTGCGGCTGCTGCGGCTTCCATTGTCTGAGCAATGAAGTCACTGGGGATCTCCGTAGGAGTCTCCCGTTGTGGAGAACCTTGGTAATATCCGCTTGAAATGAACTGTGACCAGCAAGACGTGCATCGGGAGAAACATGCTGGAACGATGTTGTAGCATGCCGGGCATACCCTCATTCTCCGTCCATCCTCGTCTCTGCGTAGGTCTTCGGGTCGCCAATTCTTGATGACAAACTTGATTCCTTTGTCCATGTAGTGATGCCGAACCGTGTTCTCCCTGTGGGACTCCAGGACAGTCGTGAGGTCTCGAATGATCTGCTCCTTGCTTGTGTCGTGGGGTCCAGGAGGCATCTCGCAAAGCAATTCCATGATCTTGCTTGGCGTTCGGTATCTCTCGAACTCAGGAAGCAACGGTGATGCATTGTAGTCCAACACCAGCTCTTTCTCCAACCTTTCATCGTAGATCTTTTCCACCAGAGCGAAAGAGTGTGTATCTCGAGGATCAGGGACGCAAAACCATACCTCCTTGACGAAATGGAAAGGTATCGTTCGACCAACGATCATGATGCCGCTGTCTGTGATACGTCCATCCTCTCGTGCAAGGTCCTGCGATGGGACATGAAGGACCGCCAATGGCATGTGCTTGGCGTCTCGTCCATGTACTCGCATCTTGGTCGTTGCGTTCCGGTGATCGAACGGCGCAAACACCCCCCAATAGCTGTGGAGTCTGCCACCTTGGTTGCCTCGGAATTGGCGCCTATGGTCGAAGTCCCCGTCGGGGTCCTCCGAACCAGGCATGATGCCTTGCGTGACAATGGAATCCAAGTTGCGGCATGCCGTAGCGTGGAACGCACCTCCAAGACGTTGCAAGAGGGTCATAGATGGAGATATTGCGAACCTGTTCTTGTCCAACTGAAGCAAGTTGTTCTGGGGATCTGAGTGCGCAGAGTGACCACTCGTAGCCCGAACTGCCCATGGCTTCACCCAGCCGTTGCATATGTTCAGGTACCTCTGGCCATGCCGGCAATGATCGTTGTTCTGGATCTCCGTGATCTGGTCCTGAACCGATACCAACCTGTTCGAACCTGCTGATCCAAGAACTTCCGTGCCGGGGTCCTTCACTCTCACACCCAGGAACTGCAACCGAATCTTGGCCTTGTTGCGTTTCGTGGCTGCAATCATGTTCCCTTGGAACAATAGCTGAAGTCTTTCATTGTACACTCTCTTCTTCTGTTGATCATCGGTCCTTGAGACCGCTTCGGTGATGCGTCTGCTTTCATGGGTCCATAGTGGCTCATGCCTCACCAAGTCTTCGATCATCACCCACCCTCCTTCATCACATTTGATGACACTGTTGAATGCCACCTGGCACCTGTTGTCAAGCCATTCCGAGCCTGGGCGCCTGGCGATTCTGTGGCGCAAGTCAGACTGGATGCATGATAGCGCCCAATCCGCGTTCAATCTGCGCTGACGGGTGATGTTGCGAAGGACAACTTCGTTCACGAGGTCCCACCGATTGTTGATGAAGCTTGCACCCTTGGTTGGGATCAGGTCGAGAATCCCGCACCGGATTGGCCTTCCGCCGCCGATGGATTCATAGCCTGCATTGGTGTAGCTATGAGTGTTTTCATCGTAAGCAAAGCTAGGACGGTCTCCTCGTTGAGGTAGGCGTCGGTCGCGATGGTCCGAAAGCTGCTCAATGATGTCCACCACTCGCTGGCTATTCTCTGGTCCCGATTCCTGCAGTGGTACGCCACAAGCATCATTTAGGCCCCGACGATTCTCCACATCCGTGCAGAGATTGTGTTTGTTCTCATAACGGATCAAGACCACATCACCCCGTACGGCTTCGCCTCCGCGTCGCGGTCGGGCTTTGGCCTTGGGTCGTCGGTCCGAGGATGCAACACTCACATGATCTGTGGTGTCAACGTCCATTGGCTCAGCCTCTTGTGTAGGTACTCGACGTGGATATCGAAGAAGACTTTCCTTGATAATCTGGACGCCTCGAAGTACCAGATCCCGGGTTGCAGCATTTTCTGTGCAATTGGACAGAGTGTGTAGATCACTGCCACAAGCGACACAGAACGTGATGCGGTCGCTTCCGACTGACATTTCGCCCTGAGCGAGTACGCCAATAGTCCTGAAGCTGCGCGACAAATCCTTCACGAATTGCATGCCTGGGATCAGGGCCTTCTGCACCTTGTTCTTCTTCGGGTTGCGCATCCACATCCACATCCTGTGCAGGTATTGGTGGAGCAACTGAGAACCCTGGATCGTCCGTGACGTTGTCAGCGGCCTGTGTCTCGTCGGTTCTCGCAATCTCTACAGGGTAGATATCACCATCGACGATCACTGTGAAATCAATCACGAGGTCAGCGGACATGT